CTTTCTGTGTTCAGTATTACCTTTTGAGCTTTATGCTGATACTTTAGATTTAGATCATTTATTTTAACTGCTCTGCTAGCATTCCAACATGAGTGTCATAGTTCATTTTCCATACCTTTATTGGTAAATGTTTGGTGGTTTCTAATATTTCGTTGTCATTCTTGTACATGTTAAAATTTGCCGTAATTTCTCTATGGTATGACTACAAGTGGAATAGGTAGTAAGGCGTGTGTGTGTGTGTGTGTATGTATGTGTATGTGTGCACATGTGTGTATTTTTTTTTTTTTTTTGAGACAGGGTCTTACTTTGTCACCCAGGCTAGAGTGCAGTGTTGGGTACATGGCTCACTGCGACCTTGACCTCCTGGGCTCAAGCAATCTTCTTGCCTCAGTCCCCTAAGTAGCTGGGACTATAGGTGTGCGCCACCACGCCCAGCTAATTTTTTGTATTTTTTTTTTTTGTGTGTGGAGATGGGTTTTGCTATGTTGCCCAGGCTGTATATTTTCAATAATACTAAATGTATTACCTCTTATCCATCATAAGTGGAATCAATTTGCCATGTATATTTAAGAGTTTCACATCTATGTAAGTGAAAATTGCTTTATAATTTTCTCGTATTTTATCCTTCTTTGCTTTTGGCATCAAGGTCATATAAGCATTGTCTTGCCAATTTTATTTTGGTTGCTAAGTGCCAGGTGTAGCTTTTCCCATAATTGTATTTTCAACATTTCTCTCTCATTTTGCCCTAATTGTCTTTTGAAAACATGGAGCTGATTTTTTAAAAATGCAATTTGATATGACTGGCATTTAACTAATAGAGTTAATATATATTTATTGTGAAATTACTATGTTTGTATTTCTTCTTTTAGTATATTTTCTACATAGCCTGCTTTTCATTACTTCTCTTTTCTTGCCTTTGCAGGATTTTCTTTACCCCCTTTTTCCTCTTTAGTCATTATCCTTCTGAATAACTGAAGTATCAGGCATTATTCTTAGCCAGGTTTTGTGTATGGCAAATTCTTTGTCTTTTCTTGTCCAAAAATGTCCTTGTCATCTTTCTTTATGGTAATTTATCTGGGTATAGAGTTCTGAGATGAAAGTTTGTCTCAGGACAGTGAAGATATTATTCTTCAATCTTCTAGCTTCTTTTTTGAAGAAGTCTGATGCTGATATAATTATTTCTTTATAGGGGATATTTTTATTTATTCATGGTAGCTTACAATATTTTCTTTCTGACTTGAAAGCCTTGTGGCTGCACTGAACTTTGTCTAAGTGCAGACTTGTTTATTTACCACACTCAAGGACTTTGGACATTCAGTGGTAGGATACGTGCCTTTCTTCCATTTTAGAAAAGAATCAGTCATTGTCTCTTCAAATACCGCCACTGCCTAGGTCAGGGGTCCCCAAGACTGCTCCCATACTCAGATATTCTCTAGAGAAACTCATGGGACTCACCATATAGTTGTAATCATGGGTAAGATTTATTACAGTGATGTGGTAATGATAAACAACTGGATTATAAAGGAAAAAGGTACAGGCAGAATCTGGAGGCATCCATGTGCAGGCTTCCTTATGCTGTCTGCCTGTCATGAATACAGAGCACACTCTAACTTCAGTATCAAAGATGAATCAACATGTGTGATGTTTATGCCAGGGGAAGCCTATTAGAGACTAAGTGATTTCTCAAGATCTGTCATCTAATTTATTAAATCTGTCTTATCTGTGGCTAGTCTACTGTTCAACCTATTTAGAGTTTTTTTTTTAATAATGCGTACCTTAAAAATACTCGTCTGTCTTTTTTCAAAATTTCCTGCTATTTCCTTCATAGTCTGGTTCTTACCTTATCTTTGTACATTTGAAATACACTTATTTTAAAGCGCAGATTGTTCTATTATCTACAGTTCTAGGAATGGGAGTATATTTAAATATATCGGTCAATTCTTTCTAATGATGGATCAGTTCCTTCTAAGGTTTTAAATTTTCTACTGTGAACTCCTCAGTGAGAGTTGGTTTTCCCTAGAAGTTCTGTGATGTCCTCAGCTATAAAGACATGAGTGTGTGTGTATATAACTACAAGGGCTCCCATCCTTGTTAAACAGGAACTAGAAACATTCCCCACTAGCCAGAGAAATTGGCAAGAAGAATGTTATATATAAGACATCAAAAGCCTAATTCTGTAACTCAATCCAAATGATTACAAGCATAGTACAGAGCCTATAAACTGAAACATTTCAAAAGTTGGTCTTGTTATATGTAGGTTCATAGCAATGGCAACCTTTCATATATATATACACACACACATATATACATACAATTATATGTATATATATATAAGCTTTAAGCCAAAATTACACTCTGACTTTCCTGAATTCCTGAACATTTGTGCCCTATGGTCCCCTTCAAATCCTCAAGCTGCTCTGTTTACCCTCTGACTTTAAATTCCCACTTCATTTTGATACCTAATACATTTCTTTTCTTGATTTTGAGCCTGGGACATGGGGAGAGTCCTCTATCCACATCAACTCAAGTCATGTTGATAGGAGTTCACTGCTTGGGCATTTAGGGATTAAAGTTATTTAATAAATTATAGTGGGAAGACAAGTTTGATGATTCATTGCATTTTCTTCTAGAAGTCTGGCAAATTGACGAGCAGACAGATCACTACAAGGAAAGCCAAGACAAACTTCTGTGGCAAGCTGCATTCACAGTCAAGGAAACACTGAAGGATGAAAGTGGTCAAGAATGTAAAATATGTAGAAAAATCGTTTATCTCAACACAGACTTTGTTTCTGTGAAACAAAGACTCCCTAAGTATTACTCATGGGAAAGGTGTTCAAAACATAATTTAAACTTTCTTAGTCAAAATAGAAGCTATGTAAGAAGGAAAGATGATGGATGTAAGGCATATTGGAAAGTATGCCTCCATTCTAATCTTCATAAAGCTCAACCTGCAGATAAATTTTTTGACCCTAATCAACGAGGGAAAGCCCTCCACCAAAAGCGAGCCCTTAATAAAAATCAGAGAAGTCAAACCGGGGAGAAACTCTACAAATGTACTGAATGTGGAAAAGTGTTTATCCAGAAAGCAAACTTAGTTGTACATCAAAGAACTCACACCGGAGAGAAACCTTATGAATGCTGTGAATGTGCAAAAGCCTTCAGCCAGAAGTCAACCCTCGTAGCACACCAGAGAATTCACTCAGGGGAGAAGCCCTATGAATGCAGTGAATGTGGAAAAACCTTTATCCAAAAGTCAACTCTGATTAAACATCAACGAACTCATACAGGAGAGAAACCATTTGTATGTGGCAAATGTCCAAAAGCCTTTAAGAGTTCATATCATCTTATTAGACATGAAAAAACACACATTAGACAAGCATTTTATAAAGGTATTAGATGTACTAAGTCCAACCTTATATATCAAAGGATTCACACAAGTAAGAAACCTGAGCGCAGTGAACATGGGAAAGCCTCTGATAAGAAGCCCAGTCCCACTAAACATTGGAGAACTCATACAAAAGAGAACATTTATGAGTGTAGTAAATGTGGGAAAAGCTTCAGAGGAAAGTCACACCTCTCTGTTCATCAGAGAATTCATACAGGAGAGAAACCCTATGAATGTAATATATGTGGGAAGACTTTCAGTGGAAAGTCACACCTCTCTGTCCATCATAGAACTCATACAGGAGAGAAACCCTATGAATGCAGAAGATGTGGGAAAGCCTTTGGGGAGAAGTCAACCCTTATTGTACATCAGAGAATGCATACAGGAGAGAAACCCTATAAATGCAACGAATGTGGGAAAGCCTTTAGTGAGAAGTCACCACTGATTAAACATCAGAGAATTCATACAGGAGAGAGACCCTATGAATGTACTGACTGTAAAAAAGCCTTCAGTAGGAAGTCAACTCTCATTAAACATCAGAGAATTCATACAGGAGAAAAACCTTACAAATGTAGTGAATGTGGGAAGGCCTTCAGTGTGAAATCAACTCTCATCGTGCATCACAGAACTCATACAGGAGAGAAACCTTATGAATGCAGAGACTGTGGGAAAGCATTCAGTGGGAAGTCAGCTCTCATTAAACATCAGAGAAGTCACACAGGAGATAAAAACCTATGATTATACTTGAGAGTGGGATAATTATACTAGTAGTTATTTGTCATTTGACTATTACTGGTCTCATTATTTGTCAAATAATCATGGGGAGTAATCTTATAAATGTCTAGAATATTGGAAATTCTTCATATGTTAATGTTCATTTAACTTAATAAAAGGTACAAAAGTATAATTCCAGAGGTGTCAATAAATGTGATCAGTTTTTTCACCCAGAATTCTTCACCCAGGAGTAAAGAAATATACGTGAAATAATTCAAAAGGGGCAAAACTGAGTGTAGTTATGTGGGAAAGCCTTCAGAAAGAATTTAAATGGCACTGTTTATCAGAGTATTTATGCTGAGAAAAACTAAGAATTTAGTGAGCTTATAAAACCATGGTAGTCAGGTGTGGTAGGTAGCTCACACCTGTAATCCTAGCACTTTTGGGAGGCTGAGGTGGGCAGATCACTTGAGCTCACATGTTTGAGACCAGCCTGGGCAACATGGCAAAACTCTGTCTCTACAAAAAACACAAAAAGTTATCTGAGTGTGGTAGTGCATGCCTGTAGTCCCAGCTACTCGGGAGGTTGAAGTAGGAGGATGGCTTGAGCCCGGGAGGCAGAGGTTGCAGTGAACTGAGATCGAGCCACTGCACTCCAGCCTCGGCGTTATAGCCAGACCTTGTCAAATAAATAAATACACAAATAAACCCGTAGTAGAAATGAGAGGAATCATGCTCTATATTCTTTTATTAACAGAGACAGGGTCTTGCTATGCCTGCCAGGCTGGTGAACTCCTAGCCTCAATTGATCCTCCCACCTTTGCCTCCCAAAGCACTCAGATTATAGATATGAGCCACCACACTTAGCATATCCTTTACCAAACATTTTGTGGAAAAGGTATAGAGGTGGCAAACAAACAATTATAAATTTAAGATATGTTCACTGTGGAGTAGAGTATGACTGTTTATTTAGGGACAGTGGCATGATCTTGGCTCACTGCAGCCTCTGCCTCCTGGGTTCAAGCGATTCTCCTGCCTCAGCCTCCCAAGTAGCTGGGATTACAGGCATCCACCAACACACCCAGCTAATTTTTTTTTTTTTGTATTTTTAGTAGAGACCTGGTTTTGCCATGTTGGGCAGGCTGGTCTCGAACTCCTGACTTCAGGTCATCCACCCTCCTCAGCCTTCCAAAGTGCTGCGATTACAGGCGAGAGCCACCTCACCCGGTGAGTATGACATTGTTTAAAGAACAGTATAAAGCATAAAATACCTTATGTGGGGCAAACTCCCAGATTATTTTCCTAAACAAATAGAAAAAAAAAATGCTTCCTTAAATAGGGTAAGAGAGGATAAGTCATCAGGATCCCTGAAACAAAGATCTCAAACAGGAGACCTTATATATATTATTCATCAGTATCTTCAGTGCGAAAATGCAAAGCCATTACAGAAAGGGCACATAGTAAGCTTTTACATACTTTCCTTAGGAACAGTGCTTAGAACTTAAAATTCTCCATGTTTTAAGAAGAGTAATAATTTTATGGTGAAGCAATATAATATTTAACATTTTCAGAGTATCTTCCATAACAGCAGTATTATTTAAAGTAGTGAAAGAATAAGACAATTTAATATCCAATGACAGCTGATTAAAAATTGATATGTCAATTAGGTGAAATAATGGGCACCAATTAAGACTACTGGCAAATTTGGGAAAATGTTCGTGGTAAATCATAAGTAAAAATATTATAAAACAATAACCATATGATTAATATTGTAAAAATAGGAAGTATATGAACCATTATATCAGCCATTTTGGGTGGTTGACATAAAAATTTTGTGATGAGTAAAGTCATATGCACATATGAGTATAAATTCATATTTCATCTATATAAGTATAAATTTGTATTCACCTATTTCATAAGTGAGTATATGTGTGTGTATAAACACATGGAACAAAAAGCTAGTACATCTGTGTAGTGTGGAGGGAAAAAGCTAGGAAAGAAATACACCAAATTATTAAGTAGATTGGCATTTGAGTGTGGGGATTATTGATGTGTAAAAATTTTTTTGGATGTAGTCTCCAGAAATCACCAATAAAGTATATCGTTTAAAGTGTATCTTATGCATGCTTATTTTCTTTTCCCATCCATTTTGCCACTCAGCTTTGTCTTTAATATGTAACATCATTCTCTTCTTAAAATGACCCCATTTTCACATATGTATACATATTGCCTATTTGTTTTCCATATGATTGAGTTTACAGTTTTGAGTGTGTACATAGTTGACCCTTGAACAACATGGGTTTGAACTGTGTATGTCCACTTCTATGTGGATTTTCTTCCACATGTGCCACCACTGAGACAGCAAGATAAACCCTTCTTTCTCCTCCTCATCCTATTCAACATGAAGATGATGAGGATGAAAACTTCTTATGATCCACTTCACTGAATGAATAGTAAATAGAATACATATATAATACACAAAATGTGTTAATGGACTATATACATCATCAGTAAGGCTTCTGGTCAACAGTAAGCTATTAGTAGTCAAATTTGGGGGGAGTCATAAATTATATGCAGATATTTTACTGCTGGAGGGTCAGTGCCCATAATTCCATGTTCCAGGGTCAACAATAGTTTGCATCTTGAGACTGGGAGTCCTATGATATTTGGAGGCAGGGGCTCTCAGTATGTTGTTCAGGCTGGTCTTGAATTCCTGGGCCCAAGCAGTCCTGCTCAGCCTCCCAAGTAGCTGGAAATACAGTATCCTATGATTTTAATAATACCTGTATGTGATTTTCTGATAAAAGCATCTCAATCGCTTTTTATTCTATAACCACCAAATCCTGTGACATAAGTTACTAGTTAACAAATTTTACAAGTGAGAGATGTAAGGAATCAACTTCTGAAGAAAGCTCTTTTCACTGTGATATTTGTGAGTGCTCCTGAATGCCTGTACTCCCTCTTGTCCCTGTCCTTTTGTTAGCAGTTAAGGCAGAAACCCTAGATGACCCCCAATGATTAATGCCCTATATAATCCCTCCCCTGAAGGTGGGCAGAACTGAGACTGCTGCTAGCCAATAGAATATGGGCAAAGGTGATGGGATGTCACTTCCATGACTACATAATGTTATATAAGACTGTCTTAGCAGACTGGAGAGATTTTCCTTGCTGCTTTAATGAAGTAAGCAGCCATATTGAAGAAACCCATGTAGCAAGAGACTGCAGCTGGCTGATAATACCTGAGGGAGCCCTGAGCTAAGACAATGAGACTTGAATGGAAAGATCCTGGTGACAAGAGGAGTGAAGAGAAACACGTCCAATAGACCAAGCTACTTTTCCCCACAAGGAATATACTAACTGGTAAATGGCTTGGGATAGATTTGGAAATTCACAGCAGCCAGGTGCAGAGCTTTTAGTAGAAAATTATGTGCCAAGGAAATCAAACTTGAAGTTCAGATTCCACCGGTGATGATGGGCCTTGTTAAGTACCACAGGCTTTCAGCTGGAACATCTGAAGGACTTTACCTAGGAATTAGGAAGGAGTAAACATAGACCAGATCTTAGGATTGATACCCCACCTTGAATGAACTCACTAACTGAATTCAGGTAATTTGCTCTTACTATAATTACCTTCAGAAACTAAAGCTTGGCTGTGTGTGGTGGCTCATGCCTGTAATCCCAGCACTTTGGGAGGCCAAGGTGGGAGAATTACTTGAGGCCAGGAGTTTGAAACCAGCCTCACAACATAGTGAGACCTTGTCTCTACAATAAATAAAAAACTAGCCAGGTGTGGTGGCTCACACGTGTACTCCCAGCTACTCGCGAGGCTGAGGTGGGAGGATTGTTTGAGCCCAGGAGTTCAAGGCTGCAGTGAACCATGATTGTGCCACTGCACTCCAGCCCGGCTAACAGAGCAAGACACTGTCACTAAACAAACAAGAAACTAAAGCTCATCTAGAGCTTCTACAATTTCTTATGCACAATGGCATTCAATCAAAAATTGCCAGGTATACCCAGAGTCAGAAGAAAAAAGTGGACAAGGCCACAGGCCCACAAAGCCCACAAGCCTTTCAGATATAAAAGTTATGAATCATGGATTCTAAAATAACTGAATAATATGGTCAAGGAAATATATAACATTCATAAGAAAAAGTGAATTATTTTCAATAATCATTTATGCTTATTTTAAAATTTTCCTGGAGTTTATTTTCTTGCTTGTCTGGGGTCTCAACTATACCATCTAATTTATGGAACTTCCCTTTTCTTTGGCGTTACAATTCTGGATAGTTACTAACTTTGAGGGGCAGGACTGGATTAGAGAAAAGGTACTGGCTCCATAGCAAGCTAGAAACTTCTTCTCTAAAGAAAAGTTATCTGCAGAGGATGATACTGCTTTGCTTCTGATATGCTTTGGCTGTGTCCCCACCCAAATCTCATCTTGAATTGTATCTTCCACAATTCCCACGTGTTTTGGGAGGGACCCAGTGGGAGGTAATTGAATTATGGGGCCGGTCTTTCTCGTGCTACTCATGATAGTGAATACATCTCACAAGATCCGATGGTTTTAAAAATGGGAGTTGCCCTGCACAAGCTCTATTTGCCTCCTGCCATCCATGTAAGACGTGACTTGGTCCTTCTTGCCTTCCACTATGATTGTGAGGCCTCCCCAGCCACATGGAACTGTAAGTCCATTAAACCTCTTTCTTTTGTAAATTGCTCAGTTTCTGGTATATATTTATCAGCAGCATGAAAACAGACTAATACAGCTTCCAAATCCTAATGGATTGTACTGTGACTCACACAGGGACTTTCCAAGGGTGTCATACAACATTTCTATCTGGCACAGACACGTCAGCTCCATATGATATGCTAGGTCATATGGCCCAAGAGACAGTGTGCATGACAGATCAGGTCTGTTTAAAAGTTATTCTTGCTCTGGGCCACAGCAAAAATTGGTGATTTTGTGGGTTAGTAAATGGACTGGAGCAGAATGACAAAATGAGGTTTATGGTGCCTAACACAAG